CTGTCACATGCCATCACTGAAGTTAACGGCCCAGGAAACTCTGTTAATATTGATGCCCTTATTTGTTTCAGTTTACCGCTCTTGTGTGCGCTAGACGATAGTGGCCATATTTCAGCTCATGTGGCTGGCCTGGCGTACGATTATAAGGCAGGGCTCAGCACCTGCTCAGAGACATGGCAGAACCCCCCGTCCTTCAAGATTCGGGCCTCCTGACTTTTAATTGCTAAGGAAGGGCGACGTCCGTAGAGTCCCACCGCATGGAGATGAGCGCCGTCTCTGCTCCCAAAGGGCCAGCTCCCTTTAAGAAGACGGCAGGGCTGGGAACCCAGCCAGCGTCGGATTCATTATGTCTGGCATGTGCGCCCCTTTCTGGTGTAGGACGGGCGGTCTCTACAGGTTCACGGGCCGTTCCCACGTGCCAAGGGGATCGGAGTGATTTTTTTCCCCCGAACGCACCGTCCACAGAGCTAATTCCTGAATCAAACGAAGCTCTCTCTGTGGGTGTCCCTCTGCACCACCACGGCCCAGCTCTTCGCATGCGTTGTCGCCCTGCGCATCGACACCTTCCCTTGCCACCCCGTGGCCCATAGTGTTGGGTGGAGGAGCAATCACGCGAGACCCAGCGCTGCTTCTGGCTGCTGCCTCCTCCTGGTCCTCACGCTCCGCCTTGTACGGCTGCTTGGCACAACAGCAAGAATCCCGAGTCTGGAGATTAATTTCTGTGTGCTTCGGCATGCTTGAGTGCTGAAGAGGGAAGGAGGGAGACACACACACACACACACGCACAGGGGATATCGGCTACTTGCCGGATTTGTGCCTGAATTATTTCTCCCGGGAGGTTGCTAAGCTGTCTTGGCTTCTACAGATGTTTAATTTGGCGTTAGTCCTGTTCATCTCTCTCTCTCTCTCTCTCTCTCTCTCTCTCTCTCTCTCACTGATAGACACACACATGCGCACCCCTTTTGTTTGTGAGCTGCAAGACTTCAGCACAACGCGCATGGCACTATGCCTTTGCTCACAAGCATTTACACCTTTTTTCCACTGTTTCCTCAGGGCTCTCCATTCTGGGCAGGAAGGGTGGTGTTCGCATGTATGTGGCGTACATGCCCGCATGTGTCTGTGCTTGCACACCCCTCCGTTTTCACACCTGTGGCCACTCTTGAGGGGGGGTGGAAGAAGAAAGTTAAGTGTGCCATAAACACTCCTAAGAGGAATTTACCTTAAACCAGAGAAATGAAAAATTTTAAAAAAATGGTGGTTATTGAGAACCGAAACTAATTAAGGCACTAAACGAAAGAGGGAGCCATCCTGCAGGGAGCGGCGGTCGATACCAAGAGGAATCCATTTCTTTGGGGCCTGAACATTTAACCTTGATCAACCAGCAATATTTAAAAAAATAGTACTAATCTCGTTTTCTAAAATCAAGGGGACCAAAAGAGACTGAAAGGGTTAAATATATATATATATATCCCCTTGCACACTTCTCGAGTTGGGGAGGGCCAGGGAGAAACAAGAGATGTTTATTTTTACAAAAAAATCAGGGTTTTTTTTAATTCTTTTTTTTCCTCCCCCATAACAGATTAGGAAAGTTCAGTCTTCTCCATCTGGAGATGTTTTTTTAGGTTGCAACAGACGGTCCCTTTAACATTTTTTTCCCCCGTCTCTTTTTTCTGCACCCGCAAACACAGGCGCAAACACAGAACAGACAGCTGTTTGAACGAAGAGTGAGCGAGGTGGGGGTGGGGGTGGGGGAGAGACCGTCCTGCGAAAGAAAGCGGCGTTCGAAGCTTTGCCGCTGGCGGGGCCAGTGGCCGGCGAGCAGCCCTGTGGGGCTGGGGGAGGAAGCGGATGCCAGCTGCTCCATGGTCTCAGTCTTCAACCAGTTGGGGTGCTCCAAGACGAAGCCCAGTAACGCACTCCGATGCCTTGGGCTCTTCCTTATTCCTTGCTGGGCAGCCAAACCCCCTCCCAATCTTCTGGTGGTGCCTTCTCCCCCCATCCTTCTAGTCCCGAGTGGCTGGTGGCACACATGCTTTCGGAGTGCCGTGCTCCGTCCTTGCTTCCCTCCCACCGGCCCCTTTGATTCTGCCTCCCAGCCTCAAATTCTCCCCAAAACATTCGGTCCCCGAATACTTGGCCCTTCGTCTCTGTCCTCCCCCAGTTGCTCCCAGCTACAAGATGGCCTGCCTTCTCTGGAGGGCCACTTCTTGTTTTCCCCCCTCCAGGTACACACCTCCAGACACCTTTCACGCAACACAGAGGGCCCTGGATTCGCTTGCTGTTTCTGGGTGCTTGTCCTGCCCTTCCTTAGCTCTCTTACCTTTCGGCCCAAAGCCATGCCTGGAGGCAGGATTGAAACTGGGGAACCATAGAAGGCTGGGCATGACTGGCCTGCCCTGGCCTGCCCCTTCTTTACCTTCCATATTCCCATGTTACACCTTGTTTTCCCCCTTTGACTTTCTGTCTCCTAGGGCCAGTGGTCCTCCACCTTGGGCCTCCAGATGTTCTTGGACTTCAACACCCAGAAATCCTGGCCAGCAGAGGTGGTGGTGGTGAAGGCTTATGGGAGTTGTAGTCCAAGGACATCTGGGGGCCCAAGGTTGGGGACCCATAGCTCTATGGTGACCCTCACATGGTCCAGAAATCCTCTAAAAGTCCCAGAGCTGGGTACCACCTAAATTGGAAAGTTCCCAATAGGGACATCTATGGGACTGACTCTGTCCCGGAAGCTTGCGGTGCCACCCCTCCCAGGCCAGAGCTGCCTGGGTCCCCAATCGAGCCGCTGGGTCTCCTGACCAACCCCACCAGAACAGGGGTGGGCCTGCTTCTCAAACTTTTCTGGTTAGGACATGGCAGCCTTCCCAAATTTACACCTCTTCCTCCAGAGGATGGAGTGGGTGGATGCCCCACTTCTGCAATGCCTGTTCATCCACAAAAGGGCATTACAGTTTGGTTTTTAAGTACCGCATCTGGCATCTGTGCCCAGCTGATCTCCGCTGCCCCCCCCCCGGGTGGCTGGCTGACCCATGGAGCGCTCCCCATTCTCGCTCACTGCTTCCAAGAAAGGAGGGATAAAAGAGCCGGATCGGTCTTATGGGGGAAGGCCAGAAAGAGAAAAGAAAGACAGAGGTGTTCTGTCTTCATTAGGCTGATCCTTTTTTTTCATCCGGTTGTTAGAAGGGCGGAACAGATCGATCGGGTAAGAAGGCAAGAGTGTCTACATGGCCTTTCATGGACGCAGGCCACCCCAGGTTGCCGCAGCTGAGCCTTGCAAGCCACCCTTGACCTTTCAGTCTAGACACTGCTGCTGCACCAGCGCTCCTGCCTTAGTGGGGAGGGAGAGAGGGAGGGAGGGGTGCCGTGAGACACAACATAGGCCCTTGCAGCTCACCAGCCTCTCACATGAAAAACTCAGGAAAGCTTCTAGTTTCCAGATTTTCAAGGAAGGAAGGAAGAGGCAAAAGAGAAAATAGAATGAGATGGATGGATGGATGGATAGATAGATAGATAGATAGATAGATAGATAGATAGATAGATAGATAGATAGATAGATAGATAGATAGATAGATAGATAGATAGATAGATAGATAGATAGATAGATAGATAGATAGATAGATAGATAGATAGATAGATAGATAGATAGATAGATAGATAGATAGATAGATAGATAGATAGATAGATAGATAGATAGATAGATAGATAGATAGATAGATAGATAGATAGATAGATAGATAGATAGATAGATAGATAGATAGATAGATAGATAGATAGATAGATAGATAGATAGATAGATAGATAGATAGATAGATAGATAGATAGATAGATAGATAGATAGATAGATAGATAGATAGATAGATAGATAGATAGATAGATAGATAGATAGATAGATAGATAGATAGATAGATAGATAGATAGATAGATAGATAGATAGATAGATAGATAGATAGATAGATAGATAGATAGATAGATAGATAGATAGATAGATAGATAGATAGATAGATAGATAGATAGATAGATAGATAGATAGATAGATAGATAGATAGATAGATAGATAGATAGATAGATAGATAGATAGATAGATAGATAGATAGATAGATAGATAGATAGATAGATAGATAGATAGATAGATAGATAGATAGATAGATAGATAGATAGATAGATAGATAGATAGATAGATAGATAGATAGATAGATAGATAGATAGATAGATAGATAGATAGATAGATAGATAGATAGATAGATAGATAGATAGATAGATAGATAGATAGATAGATAGATAGATAGATAGATAGATAGATAGATAGATAGATAGATAGATAGATAGATAGATAGATAGATAGATAGATAGATACGAATGAAGGTTGGGCCGGATGGTGCTGAAAGCAAAGATGGAGAAGGTAGAAGGGAGAGAGAAAAACAGATCTCAGAGGAGGTATGAATAGGTGTTGAATGACGGATGGCTAGGAAGGATGTGTGAGATTGGTAGAAAAGACTGATAGGACAGAAGGATACCGGGAAAGAGAAGGAAGGAAAGGCCTGAGAGATAGATAACAGCTGGGTAGAGTGTGATGACAGGGACTGATCGATTGGAAGGAGGACTAGCAAGGAAAAAAATGTGAAAATATCAGGCATCGGATGGATGAACAGGCAGGAAAAAGGAAAGGCGACAGCAAGAATGCAAGTACAAGCTGTCGTCGGTGGCCGGCGTCACGGTATCCAAAGGAGATGGGAGAGTAGTTGAAAGAGGCAGAAGTGCAGAACGCTTGGCCGGAAGGATGTAGTGGCAGAAGGAGGGGTTGCAGGGGCCCAGCCTTGCCCGTTGGAGTCTAGCTGAGAGGGTGGCCAGCCGCCGGGGGGCTGGACTGTGTCTTGTTTGCTGAGCCCTTCCCCCCCGACCGCCGAGCTCCGCATTCACCTTTCCTACCTTCTTTTTCCACTTGCCCCCCCTCCCCGCTCCCTTCCCTCCGTGGCCCCTCCCGCCCCTCCCTCTCCCCTTGCCAGGTCGCCAGTTGACGATATTTAACAGCCAGGCCGCCATCAAGATCGGAGGCCGGGATCAAGGCCGACCTTTCCAGGGCCAGATCTCGGGGCTGTACTACAACGGGCTCAAGGTGCTGTCCCTGGCGGCCGAGAGCGACCCCAACGTGAAGGTGGAGGGGAACCTTCGGCTGGTGGGCGAGGTGCCCTCGGTCATGACCACAGAGACCACGGCCACCACCCTTCTGGCGGACATGTCCACCACCATCATGGAGACCACCACCACCATGGCCACGACCACGACGCGGCGTGGCCGTTCTCCCACCATGCGGGACAGCGTCACACAGGTCAGTGAGCGGGAGGGGCCCCAAGCTGGACGTGCGGGAGAAGGTTCTTGCAGAAGAGGAGAGAGGTGGGGGAAGGTCTTGAAGGGGCCCCGTGGTGGGACCTGGATGGAGAGGATTGGCGTAGATGGGGCGGGCAGTTTCAGGGTCCAGTACTGTCCCCCTCCCGGGATTCCACTGAGGTGTGGACTAACCTCCACAATTAGCAGAAATTGCAACAACAACAAAAACTGAAGCCAACTATTTCTGGAAGTCTCCTAATTAGCAGAAATTGCAACAACAACAAAAATTGAAGCCAACTATTTCTGAAAGTCTTCTTGTTGTTGGGTTGGGTTTTGATTTCGGCTTGGGAGGCTACGCCCTGCTTCATTGCAAAATCGACCCACTTAAAAGCTTTCTGTGAGCTGGAAATGGGGCAAAGGGAAGCTGAGCTAGGGAGGGGGTTTGCACCGTGCAAAAGAACTGGGGAACATCAGTACGGTGGTGCCTCACTAGACGATGATAATCCATTCCACTGGAATCGCTGTTTAGCAAAATCATTGTCTAGCAAAAACCATTTCCCCACTGGAATGCATTGAAACCTGTTTAATGCATTCCAGTGGGGAAGAATCGTCGTTGTCTAGCAAAGATCGGCCATAGGAAAGCCGCTTTGCAAACTGCTGATCATCTGTTTAAATAGCTATCTCGAGAAACTCAGGTCCCGAAAACACCCGTTTTGCGAGCACAAAGGGAGCTGTAAAAATCGTCGTCTAGCGAAAATCAGGAACCAAACATTGTCCAGTGAAATTCCCCATAGGAATCTTTGTTTTGTGAATCGCTATAGCGATCGCAAAAAGTCAATATCTAGCAAAAAAAAAAAAACTGTCATGCGGGGTAACTGTCTAGCGAGGCACCACTGTATTTAAGGGCGGACAGAATAATGGGCACTGTAGTTCAAAGGAGAGAGCGAAGGGCAAGAGAGGGAAACACAGCGTCACTTTTGATGAAGGCTTCAGAAAGAGGGGAGAGGACTAGAGTACCATTATTCCACGGAGGAGCACTTGGCCAGAGCAGTCCTGACCCAGCCCTTTGGAGAGGAAAAGGAGACTGGTGTGGCTGTTGCTGGGATCTCCATTGAGCTCTGCCCCATCATTCAGAAAGTTCCCCTCCACTCGTGTACGAAGGAACAAAATGGGGGCAGGGCTCAGTCTCCATCATGGTGTGTGCCACACTGACATCATCCACCACTGTGTGGCAAGAAAAGCAGGATTCTTGCCCTGTTGGTTTAGCCTGTACACAATAGGGGCGTGGTATCTGCAGGGGATCGGTTCCAAGCCACACTCCCCCCAGCGAAAAAAACCCTAGACAGCCTCTGGTTCCCCCTAGTGGCCACTTTTGTTAATACACCTTGGAAATAATGTCTTTCGTGGGCGGGGGTCATCCACCACTGTGTGGCAAGAAAAGCAGGATTCTTGCCCTGTTGGTTTAGCCTGTACACAATAGGGGCGTGGTATCTGCAGGGGATCGGTTCCAAGCCACACTCCCCCCAGCGAAAAAAACCCTAGACAGCCTCTGGTTCCCCCTAGTGGCCACTTTTGTTAATACACCTTGGAAATAATGTCTTTCGTGGGCGGGGGTTTAATATCCTGGCCAGTTTTGTTAATACACCTTGGAAATAATATATTTCGTGGGGGGGTATTTAATATCTTGAGACAGTGGATAAGTGAAACGGCGGTGCTGATCCCAGGAATAAGGCAGACCTGCAGTAACATATTCCCCCATTCCCAAATTTTAGACAATTCGAAAGTTTAGCAATTCCTTTAGGCACAGGATTTCGCGGATTGCAGCCCACTTTGGTAGAGACCAAAAATTCATGCCAGATAAAACACGTTAGATTTTTAAGATCTGGCAAGACCTGTTTCTGTGTGCTGACATTTCATTTTGTGTGATCACATCCCGTACTTTTCCCAGGCATGTCATAAAATATCACTTGCTTTGCCATGAATCACTCTCTATTCCGCTTTCCCTTAAATCCTATCAATGTATCTGTAAGGTTGGATTTTTTATATACCCTATGTTTCCATGTATAAGACTATACTTTTGCCTAAAACCTTTAGACTAAAAATTGAGGGTCGTCTTATACACGGAAGTAAACTGAGGACAGAACGAAAACAAGTGGAGGGGAAAGCAGGGATCAAAGTGATCCTGCAGCGCTTTGATCCCTTTCCCCCTACACTTGCTAAGCCCCACTTAGATTTTTTAATTTGGATTAGAAAAGTGAGAGGGGTGTCTTATACACTGAAAAATAGCAATATACCATTATATATATATTGCTTCCAACCATGCTTTACGTCTGTTCTTGCTGCAACAGACCAAACATAGCTATTTCGTGGAATTAATGTCTGTTGAAATAAGTGAAACTTAAATCATTGCTAATAGTTATTAGCTGTGTGGTTTTATAAACAACCTTTTCATTCACATGAGATCATAAGGTGGGGTGGGGGTTGTTGTTATGTGCTGCCAAAATGCTTCCGGCATATGGTGAACCTATGAATCAATCACGTCCAAAACGATCTCCGAGGTGGCGTAGATAATGTTATTTAAAAGCAACAATAATGAAATAAAAAGCATTAAAACAATTCAGCCAGAAAGCAAGCAAGCAAGTAAATCATTTATTTAAAAAAACCGTTTAAAACGGCTGGGCAAAACAGGACATTTTTTATTTGGTAGTAAGAGGAAAACAAAATTAAGGCTAATCATTATCTCTGTCGGGACAGTATTCCGAAGGCAAAGTGCTACCGCTGGGAAGATTCATGCCAGCCTGGATCTCCCCCACATCTTCTTGTATTTTTCCCCCCAGTTTTGTTAGTCACACTGCAACGCAAGCTGGCGAAAATGAAAGGGAAAGAAAGCAGGGAAGGAGAAACAGAGAGAAAATATTGTGACACTCGTAAAGAGTAACAGATCTGTTGCAGTGTAAGATTTTTGTGGAACAAAATCTACTTCTTTGGATCTGAAGAATTGGATTTCTGGTCTGCAAAAGCTCGTCCTTTCTTCCCTCCTTTAATTTTGCTTGCCTGCTCGGACAGAATGGCATGGCGGCTTCTTTAGACGGAGAGATGCAAATCAGTGGCCGAAACCACTGCTACCTGCCAGGATGTCCCCCCCCTCCATAAATATCTTGCCCTGTGGTTTTCAGCATAGATCTTGCATTAACTTAAGGTGCATCAGAACGGTTCCCTTACGTACAGCTCTGCAATTCAAAAGTTATTATTCAAGGTTCATCAGGAGGTAGCAATGTTACATTTTGAGCATGAACAGAGTACATCAGCCTCTCTGGCTTTTACAATTTTCAGGGAGGACCTTTCTGTCAGTCCCACCACCCTCACGGATACGCTTGGCGCAGACACGGGAGAGGGCCTTTTCGGTGGTGGCCCCCCGGCTTGTTCGATCCCCTCCCAAGGGGGGAAATTGGTTGACTTCCCCCCATCCCTCAACTGCCTTGCTGACGAGCAAAGATCTTCCCTTTTGAGATAGACTTGTATTGTATAAACTGCTGGTCAGGGAGGGATTCTAAAAGCAGGTGGTGTCTTTATTACCACTTGAAATGTGTTCCAAGTGGTTTTAAATAGATTCTACTATGTTTCCCCAAAAAGACCTAACCTGAAAATAAGCCCTAGTATGATTTTTTTCAGGATGCTCGTCATAGAAGCCTTACCCCCAAAATAAGCCCCAGTGAAGTGAAATCCCACCTTTTACCCTGGTGCAGCAACCAGAAGAAGATGACATGGCTGTAAAATAAAACATCCCCTTGAAAATTAGTCCTAATGCATTTTTGGAGCAAAAATTAATATAAGATCCTGTCTTATTTTCGGGGAAAATACGGTACTGTAGTTTCTATGGACGGAAAAGAGCAGATACGGATTAAATGGTTTTCAGTGCATTCCTATGGGAAATGCAGATTCAACATAAGAACTTTTCAACTTGAGAACCACCTTCCAATACGGATTAAGTTCTTAAGTAGAGACCCACTGTATTTGCTTCCTTTTAATAACTGATTAATTAATATGTTGAACTGGGGTTATTTTTCCAATATAGTGATCTGTTATATTTGCAATACTTTTCATATTTATGTTTTTTAATCCTTGGTAAGGTGTACCGATGAGATCCCACTACAGTGAGAAAGATGGAGTAGGAATCTAATCTAATCCCATCCCTCCATAATTTAACATTAAAAATAAACGCAAATATGTAATTAAAATGATCTTAACCTAAAAACGAGCCATCCCCTGAGAAATCCTAAATGCTAGAAATTGTATTTATCGCAGAAATTTGTTTAAAATGAGAAGGGGAAAAAAAACCCTAACTTTTATGGAAATCTCTCCACCACTTTGAATTTCTTCATGCAGCTGTTGCCAGCCCTCGCTTTGGGAGCAGTGATGTAGGAATTTCAGGATATGACAGGCAGATGCTTCCCGCATGTCCTCTGAGCGTCCCTGAGTTATGGGACCCTTATTTTCAGGTATGGCGACTCCAGTCGTTGGACGCGCAGTTGAGTCGGACTTAAGTCACAGAGTTGACTCAACTTGGACGTGACTTGATGGTTTGTTGTTTTTTTCAATGACACGGACATAGCTCGCAACTCAGAAGCCAGCCACCCTTTTTTCTGGGGATTCGGGACTCCGAATGTGGGACCAAAGTATCAGACTTAGGCTTAGACTCAACAGCCCTATTTATTTTCCCGTGACGGAACAAAAAGACCTTTCGTTGACTGTGAGCAGCCTTGAGTCACTTGCGGGAAGAGACGAGTCCTATAAAAGCAAACAGGTAAAGGAAACATCCACGCACGATCCCCCTTACATAATTAAAGATAGCCAATAACAAATAGCAGAGCCGTTAAAGAGCGATAATCGAAACTGGCGTTCCCTGAAGCCCAGCTAATTGAAAGGAAACAAAGCGCCGGTTGATTTTGGGGGTGGGGGGGCCAGCGGTCGGCCGCCCCCCCCCCCGCAAAGCCGCCTCTC